GTTCATGTCAAAATTCACGAGTCTCTTAAGTAAGAAAGTGAACCAGAAGCAAAACAATTGTTCAAACATTCTAAATTGAAAAAGTAAAATATCTGCAACCTGGTGCGTCTCACCAGAGCGGTAGAGCACGTCCATGTTCAAAGATTGATTCTTGAACACCGGATCGGCGTAAGCGTCCTCCGCCAACCCGAGTAGTTCATCCTTCAAACATATAAATATGTTAGAAATTTGCAGAAAGAAACAATTAATGGGTTTTTGGGCAAAGCCGTAGAAGTACCTGGAAGTTCCAGAAATGGGAGCCCACATAGTTTGCAAAGCTTCCAACTTGAAGAGTGACGAGTTCTCTCATGGTTTGGGAACCAAAGCTGCGAGGGGATGGTAGGGAGGGAGGGAGGGAGGAAGGGAATGAATTTGGAGGCAACCTTCGTTTTGTAGTGGACCAGACTTGGACTATTGGGTGCGTTTGTTAACCCTGGATTAGCTTCAGGACTAAATTAGATTAGCTTAGACTATATTAAACTGAATTAACTTAGTGAAATATTTGATATAACAAATTAAATAATTTTTTTTTTTCCATTTTCTTTATCTTTTTCCTTTTTCTGGAACACTCTTCTCTCTCATTTCTCTCATTTTTTTTCAGTACTCATATCGCTTGAACACCCTACCCTCTCCTTTGAAAATAGGTTAGTTTATTAGAACACTCTTTGGGATTTGGAATTAGCGATTCGAATTTGGGTTTCATGATTGAAGATTGGTTTTACCCTTCCACCGAATCTGGGTTTTTTTATTCCATCGAATTTGTGCAGATATGCAGAAGACTAATATGAAACTGTGGTTGAAGATGGAAGTGGGCGTCGGCTGGTTGTCCGCCTGCCAAGTTCTCTGTCTTTGTCTACTTGCGAGGGCCCAGGCAAGCTGGTGAGCTTGGAGGTGAACAAATGACGAAGAGAGCATGAGAGGAGAGAAATTGTGACTTGATTCTGGGTTCTTCGAGATTCAAAACAAGCAGACGAAGAGTTGGAGATTTTGGGTACTCCGCGATTCGAAACGAACGAACGAAGAGTTGGTGATTTTGGGTTCTCCACGATTCGAAACGAGATGACTTGATTCTGGATTTTAGGTTCTCTGCGGTTCTGGGTTGGTAGGTGTAGGCGATGTTGGCGAAGCAAGCATACGAGGTCTTAGCAATCCCATGGTATTCAAGGTGTCTCACTAAGACCTCTTAGCAAAGGAGATAGTGCACGCGAGTCCCGCTTTATCTAATTAAATTAGTCTATGTAAGTAACAAACACAAGACTACACTAACGTGTAATCCAGTCCAGTCCAGTGAAGGTTAACGAGCCCAAACAAACATAGTCTTTTAACTACTGAATTAACTGGACTTAATCCCTATATGTTTTTAAAAACGAACTTTAACGAAAAGCTTCAAATACTATTTACTTTAACGAAAAACCACATTTTGACACTAAAAGGTCAATCATGTTACTATTCATTTTACCCTTCAGTTTGTCCTTATCGTTAAAACTCAAAATTTTCGAACTATTTTTATTAGTTTTTCTTTAAAATAATGAGTAAAAAAGCCCAAAAGACATTTCCCTTTTTTCATTTAGGCATTTCAAACAAACAGTTTGTGGGCATGGTAAACAACTCTTTTCGTAGCAATAGATGAAAAGGTTTTTAATTGTACCAGTACAAATTAATACAGGGTGTCCATGGAAGAAAGAAGAAAACAAATCAAGTAAAAAGTTGTAATTTAGAAACATAAAGATGAACAAATAACAGATACCCACCAACAAAGTGGGAAAAGAAACAGTGGAACTGGAACATTGTTGCCATTGCAATTCTGGCTACTCAAGACCATGCGGTGAGTCTTACAAATGCTATTGTATTAGTAATTCGAGACATTATAACGACGGTAGATCTGTTTTATAAAAGTTTTTCTCGAACAGGCAAATAAGGAATCCTTACTAAGGAGGTGGTCATCTCTAATTGTCTCCGGTCATGGGCAGACCCATTTAATGCCAAGGGGAGCAACTACCCACTTTTTTTTTCCTGATTAAGTAAGATATCTTTCATTACATTAAAAACTAGTATAAGGCCAAAAAAGAACTAGGTAAACAACTATAGATAAAGTAACAGACTCAAGCAAAATGAGAACGGCAACTCAGGATACAATAAGAGGTCCACACAAGGTTAGGCCTGAAGGTTGCAAGAAACAAACAATAGAAAACCCTAATCTCCAGCAGCAAAGACCACACTGTCACATCTTTGGAGGAAGCCAAACTTCGAACCGAAAAAGTAGGCACCAAATCCAAGTCCCCTTCACGAACCATTGCAAATATATACAAAGAAAGTAACATATGGGTAGAGTGAGGCTAATAGGTATGTAAAGTACCCAACACTTGGCCTCTATGAGGATCCGACATGCCTATTAGGGGAAGGGAAGTGAGGGATGCAAGTGGGTCTGATATCCAATTTCTAATCGGAGCCTGCCAATCCAAGCACATGGTAGGATGTGGATGAAGTGTCACAGCTAAGGAGGAGGGAGGAAGGAAAATTAAAAGATAGAAAGTAGTAAAAGCAGGCGAAAAACGCCGGATAAGGGGCATGAAGCCCAAATCTGAGACAAACTCAAGGATAGTTGAGATCCGGTTAAAAAAAAACTTAGATAAAACTCAGGAAAAACCGAGAATGAAAACAAAGGAAGGAGACTAGAAAGAGGGAAGGAAGAGGAGGTGGATGCAGGGATGGGGAAAGGAAAGAGGAGTAGCGAGCTGCTGCCTACCTCAAGCAAAATCAGGGACGGCGGCTAAAATTAGAAACTAAGAAGGGGTGGGGTGTGTGCTACCTCAAGCAAAATCAGGGACGGCGGCTAAAATTAGAAACTAAGAAGGGGCGGGGTATGTGCTTCTGGATCTGGGATATGGAGTTCAGAGAGAAAAAGAGAAACTACCTCAAAAAATCTCCCTATCAGACATGAGTTCGCGCACTCAACAATTGGGCAAGAAAGGGTGACACGGGAATTCCAAACCCATTTCATACCAAATCGACATACTTCACTCAAATGTTTCTTTCCCAACTTTTTTCCTCAACTCCGTCTGTGCCATCATCGCTAAGACCTGCCCACCAACAAAGAAGCAGAAGTAACAACACTACGCCAAGCTTTTATACCTCGCACACTCAAAAAAAAAAAAATCTATAACTGCAACTATCTGCCGTTAACCTTTGTTTTCCTGACAAACATTAATACTACTGAGAGACTATTCTTACCATGGCAGCATAGTGCCATAGACTCCACAAAGGAAATATGGGGAAAAAAATATAAACTTTTATTAGCATGAGTACTAGAACGTATCGTGCATGGGGTATCCTCATTCCTAAAAATGGTACAACCATAGTTCTTCAAAACAATGGCATAACCATATGTCCAACTCAAATAAGTTCTCAAACTCGCACAGATAAAAAGTATCTTGAGGTTTCGCCTCTTTGGAGCAAAAAGTTTTAAAAAATCGAAGAAAAATTTAGAGTTGACTTTGTTTGGAAGGTTACATCAACATTGAACCGTCTAAATAGCATGACGTTGGCGTAATAATGCATAGTTTGACAATATATGTATTTGTCCAAGTCTCAATAAAAGATCAATATCCCCTAAACATGCCCATAGAGTTTCTTTGCTGGTTTGAAAACGGATCCGTAGTTTATGTTGATACTTTACTAGTGGATTATCTGTTGGCATAAAACACAGTCCAAACACTTAATCAAACCAAAATCTTAGGTCATTGACTCATTTCTTAATCCAACAATTTTAATTCCAGTTGACTGCAACACGTTTTCATCACCACCACTGATTGTGCTCCTTTACAATCTAAAGAATCCATAAAATCTAAAGAATGCATAAACCCGACAAATAAAAACTAAAAAATATATCAAATAATTGACATGACATTAAGCTAATTTAAATATGAAAATGTTTGGTACTTAAATCATCTTTTGAAATATTTAATTTTCTAACCCATAAGATTCTTGGGGGATCACTCAACCTACCAACTCTTTTGAGAGATTCATTAGAAAAAATATATATTTGCATTATCTTGAAGGTGACTGCTTTATCTTTGCATGAGCCTGGCTCTGTAAGATGAGATTATTCAAATGTTGATGTAAATGGATAATATTAAGAAATAATGCGACCCATTAATTAGTCTGAAAGTCAATTAAGAAATCGATTATATAAGTAATTAGGTCTCCAGATCTTTATTTGACAGTGACCACTGATGAAATTTCAATACTGGCAAATACCTAATTTTTGTAGAGATGTTGCAGAAGATAAGCCATTATTTAATCTGAGGCAAACCACTAAGATTAAAAAGAATACGTATAGTGGCATGGAACTGGATTTGCAACAGAAAAGATGCTAGAATCAGTTGCCCACACGTTTAGGTTTGTCCTAACAGTGAATACAATATATTATCCATATGCATTAAGGATCATGACTAGCCTGTGGACGCGTGCGACTGACCTTAACACTACTATTATGACGGAAAATAAAAGTTTGTATGAGAAGTGATTAGCAGAGAGAGAGAGAGAGAGAGAAGCTGGCATGCTACTAAGAATTCCAGGACAATGCAGGTGCAAAGGTTAACTAGCAAGTGGATAAGAGTCCAATCCTCCAGGGACCATGTTGCTGAAAAATAGAAAATTCGAGATATAGAGGACCCAGTTGGACAAAAGTTTGATCTCAGCTTGATGACGACAAACATTCAAGAAGCAAGGCAATCCCTATCTAGGTTTACAGGTTTTCATGTCGAATCCTAACGATGAATGTCGCCGAGGATTAGGATAAGAAAAGGGTTTGATCTCTTCCAAGTCCGGAACTGTCATATCCCACGACCCCAATGTAGTTCCGAAGGCAAACAATATGTAGCAGATTCGTAGTCCATAGAGATCTCAGTTTGAACCCTCAGTTCATATATTAGAGCATATAGCTAATACAACAGAGAAACTAAGCGATGGGAACAAATTAAACTGAATAATATTATGTTGGGAAACATTAACATGGCACTTCCTACAATTAAATAAAAGGGGTCATTACATAATACTAAACCTGTATAAAAGAACCAGAGATGAAGAAACTTGCTCTACAATGCAAATTCTTCTCTCTCTCTCTCTCTCTCTCTCTCTCTCTCTCTCTCTCTCTCTCTCTCTCTCTAAAAGTACCTCTAAAAAGAAAAAACTTGAGTTCCACATCCTCCTTTTTTGTTGAAGGTAGCTTATTACTACTATATGCTCATAATTCAGAGACTGAGATTTTTCCCCATGTATATTTGTATCTGCAAAACTCATGTGGGATGATGATTGTATGAGACTCCCTGTACTTCTCCAGCTCCTTGGTTGTTGTTGTGATTCCCACTTTTCGAACTCTAACCATCCGATTTCTCGTCCTCTTCGGCTTCCCTGCTGTTGCCTGACTCGCCTCTAGTTGTTGATCGACATTTGGCAAACCCGCCCGCAAGGAGAGGACCCTGTGGAGAACCAGACTGTACGTTGTTTGCCTTAGAATGGTCTCCACTGTGATCCAAGGACATGAGCAAGGCATTCCCTTGGCCGGCAGCAGCAGAAGGCGGTAGCTTTCGGATGTGAAGGCGGTATTTCTGCACAGAAACATATGAGCAAACATTTCAGATGGGAAAATTAAATTGTGATTTGCAGAGGAAAGAAACATAACTATTAAATTCATTAAGTAATTAACCAACCTGCAAATGGCTCTTAACTTCATCATTGGTGAGACCCTCCACCTGCATAAGCTCTCTTATCTGCTTAGGAGTGGCTACTACCAAAAACAGAACACAAATTAGAAACAAGCACATATAATTAAAACATAGAGGAGAATTCGATTCGAATTGTTCGAAAAAAACCTACTAAATTCAAGTAGTTTGGTTTAAAAGCATAAAGATCAAGCATTTCCTCCAAAAACCAACAATAAATTTTGCAATTTATCAATTTTTCCAATTCCAATTTCAAGTCATGAAATTAATACCAACACTATTACAATATTTTATAGTCACAAAGCTCCAACCTTCTGTTCCTCCAAGCTGCTGAAGGGCATCAACAAAGCGGCGATGGAGCTCCGGGGACCAGCACCGCCTTGGTTTCCTCAAGGGTTGCTGCTGCTGCTGTGGCTGGGGCTTGTTCAGTAATTTCACTTGTCCTGCCACACCAGAACCCGAACCGCTGCCTTTGCAGCCATTACTGGTCCTAGAGTTTGCGCTTGCAGAACAACCCAGTGCTTCAGACATCAATGGAGTCATAAGACAAAGGTTTGGAACCTCGGAAACCTCCTTGACTTCCTTCAAACATGGTTTTGCAAAACCAGACAACTCATTCTGTCCCCTGAATGCCAGTAATGCCCCCTCCACGGCTCTGTTATTACTCACCTCAATTGGGTTCTCAGTCACCGACCGATCATCTTCCTCATTCCCCTGTCGAAAAAAATCCAAGATAATATGAAATTTCAGCAAAGCCCCAATAAAGTTTCAGTCTGTACAAAAAAAAAGTAGGTGAAATTTAGAAATTAACCAGTTTAAGTTCAACAGAGTCGCGTTTGGTGTAATCGAAAACGTTGATGCTCGTGTTCCACAGCTGAGCAGAGCTCATCCAGTTCTTCTTGTCAATATTTTCCTTTCCCGAAACTAACCCTCCGTCCTCCTCAGAATTGCCCTTCAACGGTATGAACACCTCCACCACCGGCCGCTCTTCCATTCGCCTCCACCGCATTCCTTCCTCCTTCAACAGCTCAATCGCTGCATGCCCATCAAACCAATCAAAACCCCATCTCAAAAATATTACAAAAACCAAATCCTAGAGAGAGAAAGTTAGAGAGAGGGAGAGAGAGCAGAAACCCACCATCCTTCAAGAGAAGCATGCAGAGAGGAAGCTCCCGCTTGAAAACTTCAATCTTTCTGAGTTCATCTTCCAATCTCTTCACGTACCCATCGAGCTCTGAAGACCTCTGAGAGCCATCTTTAATAGCGGCGAGCTGGGCGAGAAAGTCGGTGATTGTTTTCGGGACGAACAGAGGACTGGAGTCCAAGCTCAACAGCTCCATTTTCCCTCTATTCGTTGTTGTTAATTTTCTCTCTCTATCTCGATTTCGAGCATTGCCCAGATAAAAGCCTGATTAGGAACAGCAAGACCCGAATTTATAGGGAATTTGAGATTCAGGACGCACACAAAGATTCAGTGGTTCGCATAAGCGGATCGTCGCGTCTCTGGGTCAACTCGGTGACTCAGTCGGGAACGAGTTTTCACGGCAGTAAGGGAATCTTTGGAATCCGTACTCACGCGGCGAAAATGTAATTATCAATTAATATTATTATTTTCCCTTTTTTTTTCTTTTTACTTTCGGTTGGTATTTTGTGGGGTGCTTCTTCGAGATTCTTTGGTAGGTGGGTTAAAGTTAAAAGGAATCATTGATCTTGAACTTCTTCAACAGTTTTGTTAAAAATTTGTTGGTTTAGTGTAAGCCTGATATACGTGTCATGTTTTTTTTGTTCGTGTTATTTTTATATTATATACGATATCTTAATAAATCGTGTCGTGTAATATTTATTAAAATGAACGAGTAGTATGATTCGATTCGAATTCGACCAGTTAATATTAATAAATAATATGACCCGACCAGTTACCAGTTAAATAAAATATATTTTAAACTAATAAATACAACAACAACAAAGCATTTTCCCACTAAGTGGGGTCGGCTAATATTTTAAACTAATAAATAATCAAAGAAAATATAATACTAAATTAGTATATACATACCACATTGTCTCATAAATATTATTTCAAAACATAAAAACACATTTGTTTTTCAAGTATTACACACCCTAAAATAAGAGCCCAATGAAAAAATATTAGTACATTACTACAAAATATTTAGATCAAAATTTAATCGTTGATTTGTCATTACATTTACGCTTGTAGTGACAAGTTTTACAACTTTCGTGAATGGCTCAACTTCGAAATTGGCCATTATAATCAGATAAACTATAAATCAAAAGTTAACCGTTGATTGTCATTTACATTCTCTACTAGCGGATGAATAGTGTTAGAAAATTATCTTGGCGAGTATATTTAATTTTTCATCTCGAACAACACTTTTTATTTTAAATTAGTATATTTAATTTTTATCTTGAACAATACTTTTTATTTTTTTTATTTTTAAATATTTTATTATTAATTATATCAAAAAGAAAAAAACTCAACTATTCACTTTCTAAAATCACTGTCTCCCTCTTCATTTTTCTTTCCTTGAGAAAGGATTCTCGTTGGATCCTCTTTTTAAGGATTCCAGGGATCCTCCAATCACATCCGTTCATCGTACATCGTGTAGCCAGTTATTGTCAGGTACTGTTTACATTCAATTTTAAATATAAAAAAATTTACAATAATTTCTTACCGCACGATGTACGATGAACGGATGTGATTTAAGGATCTCTGAGATCCTCACAACAAGGATCCGGCAAGGATCCTCACTCTTTTTTCTTGGCTCACAAGCCGACCCATAAGTTTTATTAATTTTTTAATATTTAACTAATTGCTTTATAAACTTAAAGAGTAACTTTGTTATAATAAAGACTCTTTAGAGCAAGTCCACCTCTAAAAAATGAGCTGGCCCAAAGTCCATTTAATCAACCCAAATGAATAGTAATTGATTGCAATGAACAATAATTGGCTAAGTGTATCTCTACCCCTAAAAAATGAGCTGGCCAAGAGTCTAGTCAATTTGTATTAAAATATTATTAATTTTTTTATAAAATAATAAAAATTATTTTTATTTTTAATTTCGGGCAGGATTTTTAATCAATCTTGTCATGCCACGTGTCATTATCCGAAAATACTATTTTTGTGGATAGATTTTCGATAAGATTTTGAACCAATCTCGTTGTACCATGTGTCACTATCTGTTTAGAATACTTTATAATAGATTTCGATAAGATTTTCAACCAATCACGTATTGCCACATGGCACTATCTACCACATCATCATTTCTTTTTTGTCCATATAAACCTTACATCCATCCTAATTCATATACCAAACTCAAACTAGCTCAGAATCCTTCTTGATCATTTTTAAATCTTGAGTTCTTAACAATGTCTTCTTCAAAGAGATTGTATGAAATCGATGAGGAAGAGAAAAATTGTTGGCAGAACATGAAGAATTGTTCAATCTTGAGGATGGTGCAGATGAGGCGTTTGTAATGGAAGAGGATGATGAACTTAGAAGACAGAGATCCTCATATTCATGTCGTGTCATGCAAGTTGTGGGTCAGATCTCCAAACCCAGACGTGCCACAAACTTTGATATAAAGAGGGAAAGATGAGGTAATGATCTCTTGGAAGCAAGGTTCTAATAAACGTTAGGTGCTAGTCGGTCAGCAGGCTGAGGCCTAGCGCCTAGATGACTAAGCAGAGTCTAGGCAGGTGCCTAGACGGATTTAAGTAAATCTATTATATTTCGTGTAAATAAATGTCTATTTGTACTTCAAATATATATAATTTCATCATAAACTACAAATAGAATGACATATATACTATGAAGTATTGGAACATAATGAAAACATGGGGAACAAGTATATAATGCGTGTTCATTTAAGTATTCAACAAGTTTCTTATAATTTATTGAAAAAAAAAATCAAATGCAGAATGAAAGTTATCTATTTTCTGTCTAAGTAAGTCGCAACTTAGAAGGGTGCCTAGACAAGTGAGCGGGTTAGGTAGGCGCCTCAGCAAATCTAGGCAACCTTTCTTAATTTTCAAATACTTACGCATTAATCGGGGCGGTGGCTAGCCGCCTAGCGCCTAGGTGGCTAGGAGGGGATTTTTAGAACAGTGATTCGAAGATTATTTTATTCCCAACAGTGTACTCCCAGATCATGTTTTTAGACGTCATTTTAGAATGGAACGAAGTTTGTTCAACAAAATCATGATTGTTGTTTGCAACCATGATGCATACTTGGTGCAAAAAAAAGGATGTTTTTCATGTTGTAGGTCTTCGTCCTGAGCAAAAAATTAATGATGCTTTGTTGATGCTTGCATATGGAGAATTTGCATATCAATTGGATGAGATTACAAGGATGAGAAAATCAATTGTTCTAGAGTCCCTGATGAGATTTTGCTCCACAATCGAAGCCCTCTACACCAATGAGTACCTCCGGAAACCCACAACAATGGACCTGTGAAGGCTTCTGAAAAATGGTGAGATGTGAGGCTTTCCTGGCATGACTAGAAGCATCAACTATATGCATTGAACCTAGAAAAATTGTCCAAGTGCGTGACAAGCAGCTTATGGTGACAGAAAATGAGCCAAAAGTATAATTTTGGAAGCAGTGGCATCATTTGATACATGAATTTGACTTTTTTTTTTTTGGTGCTAAGGAGCTCAAAATGACCTTAATGTCCTTACCCAATCTCTAGTATTCGACGAGGTGAAGAAACTTGTGGGGATTGAAACAAGGTGAAGAAACTTAAAAGGAGCTTGTGGTCGAAGAATAAAGTTCTTAGTTTATTTGGTGTGTTTTTTTTAAGTTTTATTTGGTGTGTTTTTTGTAATTTTATTTGGTGTGTTATGTAATTTTATTTTGTTTGAATAAACATGCTCTTAGTTTAAATGAAGTACTAAAAATAAATATGAAATTACATAAAGTCTGAGTAGCTAGGATATGTGGTGCTACGATCTTCATTGCTAGGATCTATGTAGCTAAAACCCCCTCCACTTGTTCCCTCGTTTCTTGCACGCCTCTTTCACACCACATCCTCTTTTTCCAATGTCCAAAAAGATTTAGAATTCAGAGATATTCCTACTAGAGGCTTGTTCATAGTGTCACGATCTTCTTGAGCCATCATTTCTTCTCTAAGCATCTCCCTTTCTTGATTAAGTAGTTCTCTTTGTCTCTCATTAGCCACATCATGTCTCTCAATAGTTGCTAAGATTGTTTGCATAGTCGCAGCTTTTGCCTCATCTCTAACTGCGTCCCGCGCAAGTTCAGTTCACCTTTGCAAGCAAGTTCATTCATATATTTTATGTAGTCATTCTTGGAAGAACTCTTTTTTTCCTTTGCCACTTTTTTACCTTTACCTTGAGGCCTTAAGGACAGACGAGTCAGCTCCGGCACTGCTTTAAGCGTCCCTTCTGGCTTTTCAAATGCATTGCCTTTCTGTTGGTCTGGGTCTGCTTCTGGCAAATTGTGTAGAGGGATGTCGCAGATAGGTTCTAAAAGACGTTAGGCGCTAGTCGGGCGACGGGTTGGGGTTTAGCGCCTAGGCAGCCAAACGGGGTCTATGTGGGTGTCTCAGTAGAATGACATATATATTATGAGTTATTGAAACATAATGAAAACATGGGAAACAAACATATAATTGTTAGAACCAAGAAAAATGTAGGAGTTTCTGCAATGCAATACTAGAAAGCTTTCAGAAATCAGAGAGAATTCTTATTAAGTGAAAACAACTATCACGGCTATTAAATAGCCTTACACTTGAACTGAAAGGAAATAACAACTTCCCACGATTTTACAGTTCCTATAATCGTGGTAAAAACTACGTCAAAACAGAAAATGCATACTTGTCCCTCAAGAATAGGGATTATTGAATAACAACCCTTAAAACTAGGAACCCTAGCTATACCGGGAACCCTAGTAGTAACGAAAAACCCTAACAACTTTAACATCCTCCCTTAAACTGAATATTCAATCATTCAGTTTACTTCTGAAAACTTGCATACGCCCAGTAAGCCTCGCAACTTCAAGAAAACATCACCCTTTAACGGTTTTGTGAAAATATTTGCAATTTGTTCTTGAGTTGAACCCTGCACTAGCTCCAGAACTCCATCTTTGACTAAGTCTCGAAGAAAATGAAACCTTACATCAATATGCTTGCTGCGACCATGCATCACAGGATTCCTTGGAAGTTTGATTGTCGAAACATTATCACAATACACTAAGGTTGGAGCATATTGCTCCTGATTAAGATTCTTCAAAATCCTTTTTAACCATACGACTTGACAAGCACTCGAAGTTGCTGCTATGAACTCCGCTTCAGTGGTGGATAAAGTGACAATCGGCTGTTTCTTTGAGGACCAAGAAACAGCCCCTAAGCTTATTATAAACACATAACCTGAGGTGCTCTTTCTATCATCTTGATCACCTGCATAATCGTTATCCGTATATCCAGTAAGCCCCTCAGTTCCTCCATTTTTGTAGAATATCCCCAAATCAACAGTTCCTTTCACACACCTTAGAGCTCTT